TTTAGGTGATCTAATATGCAAAACCGATCGCTTGCCCAAACCGAACATTCGTCACCGACAAAATGGCTTTCAAGTTTGACAGCGGCACAATAGCCCGACATGCCGATAGCCGCTTGCTCGCTGCAAATTGCGATAACGCGCGAAAACAATGCACGCTGATGTTACACGCAGCCAAGTTTCGCGGCAAACGCGCGCCCGTGTCCAGCTCTTCACGCCGTTCCATTTTCGAAGTTAATTACAATGCTGTTTGCATTAGACACGTTTTGTATTTCGAACGATTAAAATTTCGAATCAGTTTCGATTGCTTGCTCATTACTTTTAGGTTAATCTACGAAGTAACGTAAGTAAATAACGTTCGATGAGGTATGCAAAAGCTTTAAGCCTAACTAATTATGTGTAATCTAATACCTTTAAACGAGCAATTCTTGTATTTATATAATATATATATATATATATATATATATATATATATATATCGGTATATATTGTCTCGGAAACGGCTCGGCTAGGCTGTTACTTTACCTTACTTTTGCACACTATTATTTTGAAATGGTACCCACACGGAAACCTTTTTCTGTTGCAACAATGGAGAGACTCAATGAAGTACTAACGGCGGTACAGAAGACCGGCGCCGTGAGTTATACTTGTCCGGCGTTGAAATAATTTTCCGTTTTGTTTGCAAATTATATAATCGTTTTTTCAAGTTATTCTTCTTTTGGCGCGTTATGGAAAAATCCTCACTTTTCCCTGGGTAAAGTTTTACGAAGTGCGCGCATACCGTCACGAAAAACCGACACACTGAAGTTAGTTAGACACCTACGAATGTGTGCGTGAGAACTGACAACTGTATTCACGACATTTATTTTGTGATATTTAAATAAACTTTATTTTACTAGATAATGCGTTATAACAAATTTTTCAATGCAATAATTACTTTTTTTAAATTATTAGCGTCGTTTTTTCTACAAACGTAGAATAAGGCGAAAAAATTATTTTTTGTTAATTTTAGTTTTTTTTTCTCTTTTATTTTTTGCGGCCTTTTTTGGTAAATGTATTTTCTTTCTTTCTTTCTATACAATAATGAAAATGCATAAAGAATTTATTTTCGACTATATTTGGCATCAGAACACTGATAAGTAGAGGCCTTCAATTGGAATCAAAGACACACGGCGCTAAGCCGTTCGATATTTTTTCGGGATACGACATTTATTGTCGCTTAAGCCAAAACGCGTGCGATTCTGACAAATGGCTTGCGATGACCGAGCTTTTGCGCCACCTGTTACAGATTTATGACATGCATAATCTTAATGCCCGAGCTAAAAGCGAAATGTGATAGGAAATTGAGGCCATGATTGGACTAAAAAGTTTTAACCCCTATCATAATTTGTGTTAGTATGTCTTGTAACCTGACTTAACGTCTCATAGCCGGACACCGGCTCCAGGATGAGACAAATACCCACACGCTAGAGGCGAACCTAAGAAGTCTTAAAGTTTCGATTTTAATTCGTTAAGAATTTCTTAAAGTTTAAATAAATTAAGAGAAGTTAGTAAAAAAAACAAGTTCTAAGATAATTATAAAATGAAATAAGTTCATGAAGTAACATGCATATGCCAAATTATAAGTAAAAAATTATGCTCATTATCTTTCAAAAAGTTGACTTGGATGCTTGAATAACTTATAAATTACACAAAAGTATACGCCAATTTCTTATCACTTCATTTTATTTCGTATATATAATTTATACTGTTGACTTTTTTATATATGAACAGAAAATATTTAATGCCTTATTTAGTGTGTCATTTTATGTCTTTTTTATTACAATATTAAAAATTATGAACAATAATCACGGTTTGCATAACCGGTTTGCAATATTTGTGTTTAAAAGTAAGTACCTAACCTTTATTACCTAGATAGCATTTAAATAATAATTGTAAGTATGTGTTTGTCTATTTTGTAATCCAAGAAGTAAACATTTCATAAATTCTTGTATTCATTATAAAATACCTACGTAATAATATTATTCATAAACATTTTATAGAATTATGTTCATTTCAGTAACCTACTTACACCAAAATTGTGGAACATTTCACGCGAGCACTAATATTCAGCCATCAACTTTAGGGCATGATTTTCTTAATTATAGTGTTGTACGCAGCATTTTAGTTTAATTAAACGTCACGTCAATGACTAATGACTGCATAGCCGCACTATTAGTTTATTCATTTATTATCCTTGAGCATTATATATTATGAGCATTATATAGAATGTACATAGTGTTCTGTAGTATTGAACGCGTGTTGTGATGCCACGTCGATCCCGAGGCGTATACTGGTACGTGGTGTGTCAAGTATGTATTGGTTGCTGAATAAATAATCTTACATTTGGCGGTCGACGTGTGACGGGTACATCCCTGAGGGCGGCGTACTTTTCAAACAATATATGTACAGAATGTATATACATGTATACATATGTTTTTCTCCTTTGTCGTGCCTAAATTTTAAATGGCATGGAAATTCGTATCGATGGATTTTTTTGGTATTGATTAAGAACAAACGTTGGTATAGCGCTTATTTACGTCGATAGAGGTACATAATGAATCTTTGTATCTGATACTTTGTTTATTTAAGATTATGATGATGTGGACAACCAATCAGACCGCTTCACTAGTTTGATTAGCTATTTATTTGGTTACAACATAAAATCTGGTATATAATCTGGAAATAGTTATGTATATAACTACTACTTCTACTTTTTTTTACTTACGCATTGTCCTTAAAACAAACAGGTAAACTGGGACACCGCACACACGCAAGTTTCAAACTGATAGTTGAAAAGCCTGGCACTTAGTTATAAATTATTAAAAAATATTTTTTATCGACTTTATGAATAGCTATGACCAAGATTGTATTCTTAATTCGAATATGTTTTGTTGGAATACCATCAATTCAATCCATATTTTTGGTTTCTCAGACCGCTACATGCGGCATCGCCCATAAATTATGTCAAAATCAAAATCAATATCAAATGTATTTATTCAACATAGGAGCATTACACTCACTTATTGATAGTCAAAACACTACCACCGGTTCGGAAAAGAAAGCCACTGTACTGAGAAGAACCGGCGAAAGAAACTCAGCGGGCTTTTTTTTTTTTTTAAATAAGCAGTTTGACATAAATTCGTTAAAATACAATATAAGAACTCCGATTGAAAGAGCCTGGAGCGATCAGTTTATTACCAGAGTGTGTTATCATTTAAATAGTCATTAATATTATAGTAGCCTTTAACACACAAACGTTCTTTTACTATTTTTTTAAATTTAGCTATTGATGCATTTTGAACGTTTTCTGGAATTTTGTTGTAATAACGTATACATTGTCCCATAAAAGATTTACTTATTTTACGGAGTTCACTTGTGGGTAGGATCAATTTATTTTTGTTCCTAGTATTTATATCATGAACATTATTATGTCTTAAAAATTTATCCTTATTTTTATGGACATACAAAACATTTTAAAAAATGTATAGAGCAGCAACAGTCAATACCGTTATCTCTTTAAACAAGTTTCTTATGTATATTGTATATGTATCATGTATATTGTACGATAATGTTTTGTTAAATTTAAATAACGCGAATTAAAAAAAAGCATTCGTTAATACATTAACTGTTTTAACTTATTAATTAATATTTTCCTTATTATAAAATATTTAGTTATTTATTATTTAATTAGTAGTTAGTTATTTACTTTTATTTTATTGAGATATCTTATTTAAGTGTTATATACGTTGGTCCTTATTGAAAAGTATTGCTATTATGTAATCATAATTTATATTAATTTAATAGTTCGAGTGTTTAGTGTGTGCCACTATGAATATGTTTATTGCAAAGGGATTGTGTTAGGTTACCGAAAAGTTTTTAATTATTTGGCAGATTTTCTTATATCAGATTCAATCTCAAATATTCTCGGTCACTAACAACGACCCGTACGATCCAATGTCTTTCAAATTTGTCTTAAGCATTTAGACGGACAATTAACTTCTACATCAAAATCTAAAATCGTAATAGGTCACTTCTGACTAATTTCGATTTAGCTGTTTTTATTTTAAAGTATCTAACGATTTATTTATGTAACGTGCAATAAGTTTTAAAAAGTTTTCATTTTAATAGCTTTTTATTTTAAAAGGTTTCAATATTAATTATAAAATGGTGTCGCACAATAGCGCTAATAATTAATAAATTAAAAAATCTTTTAGCCAAAAAATGTTAATCACATTTTAGAATGTCACATGTCTTTTAATAGAATTATTACTAAAAATAAATGGGTTGTTACGTAAACAAATTAAAATTTAAACTGGTTCATTAAGCTAGAAATTTTATATGAAACTGAACTGCTCCTAATGATTTAAAGTATCTTTTTTGAGCGAGGGATACCAGTATTTTAAAACATACTTTTACTAGAGAACAGATTACAGCTGTGTGGAAAACATTTGATGAATATATAAATAACGAGGAATATTATCAATAAAACCCTGTATATTTAGAGGATTTATCACAGAAATAAATTTTCATTTTTTTAACATTTTTACATAGAAATATCAAACAAACATTTTCACGTAGTTGATGCAATGAATCCAGTGGCTATTACTATTACCATTAATAAGTAAATGTTGTTTTTTATGTTTAAATTATTCAGGTACGCGTGGCTTCCTGGTGCTTATAGTTTTATAAGGGACTAGTCTTACTAAGATAGAGAATTTTACTTTACGGAATATTTATCTAATGTTACTTTGTTTAATGTTTACTTTTCTGATCGCTATTGGTCCTTCGGTGGATTTGTATGAAATGGAATTGTTGTAACACAATAATTTTTGCATAGAAAAATTGTACGTCCTGCGATAGTACGATCTCTGCTTAGTTTCATTGCAATTCGCATTTTCATACAAACTTGTTCGATAGTTCCCAAAACGGGCCCTTGCGATCCGTGGGTTAGTGCCGGCTTAGTGCCACAGGGATTCCTTTACGTGGTACGGTATGAATACTGGTTTTTCCACCGCCACGGTGTTCACGACAGGTACGTGCACGGTATTAAAAACTGGTACTGTCTTGATAACCGGCACCTCCTTCACGACGGGAACCTCCCTAATGACCGGCACTTCCTTGATGACAGGCACTTTTTCGATGTGGTGATGGTGCAGGGTGTGGACCTCGTATGGCACGTGAATGCGCACGCTAAAAATAAACACAACATTGATATAAAAACTTTATGGATTTTCTTTTTTTCTAAATCGCATTGCAGTAAGATCGTCTATAGAACGGGGGCGTTTTTAATTATTGATTGTCTTTTTTATGTGAGAAGGTGGCAAGTGACCTGGCTGTTCACCTGATATACATGTGATAGCCGCCGCTCATTGACATTGACAACACCCGTAGGATTAGCGGATGCATTGCCACCTTTTAATAAAGTGGTGAAAATTATTATTAGTTTGTGTTATTTATGGCCATACAACGCTCTATCCTTTTAAGACTTAATAAACACGAGCATACTGCTTTACCATCCTTATCGGTCAATTCAGATATTGTGTTACTTATCTTTTACCGAAGGTTAAACTAATTCAGTTCGTCTTATATGCAAAGATGTTCCGAAAAACTTTACACTGGATTAAAATACTAACTCTTCCTCTATTTTTTTAAACTATGTACCCTATATAATTCCTTTAACCGAAACGATTTGAGAGATAAATCTAGTGACCTCATGAGTTTAAATTCGTCAAAAGTTTTAGGCTGTAGAAAGTGCTACATACATATAAACTTATATATACAAATAATTATAAAAAGCTGAAAAACATTAACCTAGTCTCTAAAGTTACTTAACCGATTCCTTCTATTAATGGAAAGTAAAAATACCTGATTACCACAAGCAACATTTTATTCAGAAATATCGACACTATTAGATCGTCTCAGAAGAAATGCTAACAAGTTGTCATATTTCAGGATGACAAGTTCACCAATTGTAATATGTTGTCATATTGCAACATTTACAGGAAAAGTACAGTTCGTGCGTTAAGCATTTTTGTGTTGAAACGGGCGAGCGATTTAGTATATTTAAAAAAGATAAAACTCACTGTGTTCGATGGGTGCCGAAAGGATCAGGATCCGCCACTGGATTTGCCAAGCACTGGCTGGCTAGGAGTACGGTGCAAACAATCTGAAGAAATGAAGCGTTTAAATTTGAATATCAATACAGAAACTTGTCAATGTACCAATTTTATTCAGTTAACATAATCTTGCGGAAACTTCACAGAATAGTTTTCACATTTCTATGTTTTTCTAAAAGCTTATAGAGTTTTGTTTACTTAAGCTTTACTTTGGTAGGGCCACGCAAAAGTCTTCGCTCACAGAAGACCGGCGTGAAGTGGAAGCGTATACTCTCGCGCTTCATGTGTTGCGTGAGGCACCCGAGACCCACTTTAATAAAAGGTCCTAAATACCTACTAAATACTATAAAACCTTCGATTCACGACCAGTCACGATGACTCCGTGGCGCAGTTGCCAAGGCATTGGCTTCGGCGTCGGGGGTCGTGGGTTCGATCCCCACACGGGACAACTATTTGTGTGACCCACAGATAGTTGTTTCTCATCTGGGTGTTTATCCGCGTGAAATTTATGTTTCTAAAACGTCCCTACAACACAGGATAATGTTATCCTAAAGTAAGGGCAATGTTTTTAAAAAAAGAAGAAGAAGGGTGTTGCCGATGGCCAAGGTCGGCGGGGATCACTAAACATCGGGTGTAATAATATTAAGACCGTTTAAAAAAAAACTTTCGACCAGGGCGCCAAACACTTCTTATTTTATAGTCATGTTGGCTACAAAGCGTTACAAACATGGTAATTCAAAATTAAATACGATGTAATTATAATAATTTAAAATAAATACTGATTGTTACATTGTGCATGTTATTACATTTTAGATGTTATTATATTGGGACATGTTATTACATTTTAATATCGAACTTATTTAACGTCAACTAAAATATTAGCGGGTAAACGAGGAACGAGAACCTTCGACAAATAAAACCGCAATAGGGCCAATTTGTTATTAATTAGTAAAGGCAATCGATCGTTTCACGCGAACTTTTCGTGTAAGTAATTAAATATATTATTATTGTTTTAAAAAGCGAATGCGACTTACGGCGGCGTGGTGGATCATTTTGGCGTGTGGCGTGCGTCTGTGCCGAGTGCAGTGGCGCGGCTCTTTAATATTTACCGATGTTGTGCAAGATCCCGCCATCGTACGCAGTCCAAACGGGGGCGCGGGGTCCACCGCTGGCGTGCATTACTAAACGCCCGGCTCCAACTGGATCGCCCCAATCGATGGACCTTAACACGTTGTTATTCAATGGAGTGTAGACTTGCACGCGTTTGCGCGTCGTGGTCTGTTTGTTGTCGTCTTTGTTATTGTGGTTTTCGTGACGTTTATTTATTTGTTAGTTTATAAACTTCTTGCACAGTCGCGTGTGTTCTCTGACAGTCAAAAGATAAATAAAAATGTGTGCGTGTACTAGCGTACACTCGTAAGAAGTGAAACTTTTTTTTATGACGTTATTTTTCAAAAAATAATTTACTATATGCAACTTTACAGAAATTGGTTAAATAAAGTTAAATTAGATAAAGTTTAATAAAAGGCTTTTATTATCATAGACATAAATACAAATTCTACAATTATTTCATTTTAGCTTTGTATAATATTTAGTTTCTTATTTGTAATACATAGGTGGCGTTAGTAATAAATTAAATCACACTATGGTTTGACCGTTGTAATTAGTATGAGGGTCCGCAAAAATTGTTGATTAAAAAACTTGCAACGTGAACCTTGTTTATTTCAATTAACCTCACGGACCCAAATTACAACCGCTTTGAATTTGTACATGGTCCTTCGTTGCCGAATAGTCAGCCAGTGAGTAGAAGGCAGCCATTCGACTCGCGCGCGAGTGTTGTGAGTGAAGTTTTTTTGGAAAACCGAACTTGCGTACGTTGGATCGACGTCGCAACCGCAAGTTCCAGGAGCCGATAGAGGTTTCGAAGAGCATCATCGGTCAGCTTCAGATTGTGTCTTCGGTGGAAGGCGCAGTCAGGTCACGGTGGGCGGTGCCTGCCTTTGGAGAAGAGGAAGTCGACACAGTGTCGTGCTCTGAAGTATTAGAGCTAGCACTGTCATTACTACAAAGATTATTATTGAATTTCATTAATTGTAATAGAATTATTACTATCATTGATATCGTTATTATATATTTGTGTTATTAATGGCTTATGGTAACTGAAATACGAAATATATTGTATACATTTTAGAATTAGAATTAAAATAAACGCTTTGATTTTGCTGATCACTTTAATATAACATATATATATATTGCTATGAACACACAAAGGAACTAACGCCGTCTAGCGTCAACTATTAAAACCACTAAAGAATAAAGACGACATAAAACCCCCTATTCAACACTAGATGGCGTTAGAGGAACATTTTAAGATAAAAAAAAGATGGCGCGTAACGGAAAAATGTTACACTAAATTTTTTTCCAGCCCCGATAAAGAAGTTTCACTTCAAATAGAGTCCAAATATAAAATTTATGCAATCATTAAGATGGTCAAGATTATTAACCACCCAGATTTGCGCTGGATTGGCAAACATCAGCAATCAATTATTGCCTATTAATTGTCTATTATAAGCTGCCGTCAATGATTAGCCCCAATCCTTAGATATGCGGAGATAAAGTATGTTAAGGTTAAAGGTAAATTTGTTCGGTTTCTCGTAAATCTAAACGTATAATGTGTCGTTGGAGACGTTTTACAGCAAAATTATTTCAGAAGCTTATTAATATGTGTATATCAAAATATTATAATGTGTACCACGCATGTCCGCATAAAACCCATGTTTAGTTGAAAATTGGACATTGTAACTGGTGAAACCCCATCGCGAAGGACTTCCAAAGCTATGGCTTCGTCATTTGTATTTTTTGTACGGAACCAATTTTAATGTATACATCGCACTTAGATTTATTTTACACATTTTAATATAATTTTCTGGAATGGAAAAACACTTTCCTGACGTAACGCAGTTGAGTTGTATCGTAAGTGCTTTCTAGAAAATCTATTAAAAACTGGACTCTTGACTACTGCACATATTAGGAATGTTACGTATATTGTTGTGACTGTGCTGGAAACGAGCGGATATTATGACATTTTTATTTACCTTAAGACTGATCTGGAAACAGTTACGAGGTTTCCTTCAACCTGACTTGTGTGTTAGAATTACTTGCAATTATATGAAAGTTTTCGTTGTCAGTATGTTAGAAATTTTTTATTGCCTAAATTATTATTTCGAGAGTCAAGCTTCATATATGCAAGATGTTATTAGAATTGGCTTCTGAGTTTTTAGATTAATTTCAATTATTCAATTGACATGCTACGGTGGGATATAGAATGGAATAGAATGTAACATAGATTAATATTGTTCACTTATAATTTAAATTAATTATGGTTTATATATTCGAATTTCGACCATTGGGCGCCCAGTAGTACTTTATAAATGAGTGAAAAAGTAACAAAACAGTAAAAATAAAGTTGGGGAGCAATTAAACAGAAAGTTAAAGGAGATCTGCTATCAGGTGTCTCTTAAAATAATCAAGGGATGGCTTGTCCTATAGATACAGGGAGAGAGTTTCAGAGCTTCAAGCCTTGGCAATAAAAGAAAATGCGTAGAAATCAGTGGTATGAGAAGGCATGGAAGCGAAAGATAACAGGAAGAACGGAGTGAACGATTAATAGAAATGCAGTGGTATTCGAAACGTTCTCTTAGAGACGAGGGAGTCGAAGGGTTAAACAGGATAGAATAAAGTAGGGAGCGAACGTGAAAGCTCGGAAAGAAGAGATATGATCGAACTTGCGTGGATTGAAGATTAATTCAATAGATAGATTTAGTAGGCGTACGAGTTTATAGTATAATAGATTATATTCCATCGAGATAAGGTAAATCAAATGGCGATTATGTGAGTTCTTGAGAGACATGTGATTCATCTTATACTATAACAAACTGGAAGTATTTAAATTGACTTTTGTATTCTTATTATGTAGATAGATTTGTGCATAATTTATTTAACTTGGTATTCTAGCCTTCAAGTCCATTGTTATTAGAACATTATTAAAATGAAAAGGCTACCAATGTGAGTAAAATTAAACTATAACACTAATGATCAATTAAAAACAGTATCCCTAGCAATATTAATAATTAATGAATTTTGAAATTTTATTGTGTATTAAAAGTGTAGAGATCGAGCGTTAATCCTAAAAATTCAATCCCTCATAGGAAATGAGAAAGCGGGCTCTAGGGAATATTTCCGTATTAAGCGGATGTACGCGGCTCTGTATTGTTTCTTTGGTACTAAAACAACTCTAGAATACCGTAATAAAGTACAATATGGGTTACGGGGTCATCTTAAGGGGAAGCCAGGTGGAAGACAAGAAAATTGGATAATCTGTTCTTTAAACGCGCAATACATGATCTATTACATCAGTAGGAAACGAGAAAAATACTAATACGGCTGTTACGTTATTTGTCCAGTGCGATAACGCTTCTTTATTCATCGTGCGATCGACCTGACAAATTTAAATTTCAAATAATCCACTGGAATTCTTTAACTTGTATGTCCACGTCGGTAGGCTCGTAACCGCCTCGGGTTCGTGGAAAGGTTCACTCGTACACCTCGCCCACTTAACATGTTTTCGCACGTTATTAGGTTGCACGATGCAATCGCGAATTGGAATCACTCCGAATGCATGCATCGAGTAAGGCCTTTTCTTCATTGCACATGTCGCTTCCCGCGCAGTCGAATGCGACGCTAGTTCTGTAACCTCATTGCGGAGAGGGAACTGTGGTAGGGCCGTTCAACAGCCACTGCTGTTGCACGAATGGGCAGATCCGTTGGGGTAAGTACCACGACGTCCCGGAAGACTAGTAAAGTAGAAGTACTATACTTCTGCATTTCGTCTGGTGAGTAGCCGGGGCTCACTTTTTTAAAGGTGGCAACGCACCTGCAACCCTACGGGTGTTGCAAATTTTAAAGGGCGGTGGTTGTCATTTAACGTCAGGTGAACCGCCGGCGCACTTGCCACCCAACTTAGGCGGGGTGACCGCCTAAGTTATTGAGCTATCCGTGCAGTCAATTTCAAATCATAGCGTCTCAGACAGTATAGTAAAAGCATCATCAGCAGTATCATCGGAGGAGAAAAGGGGACAATAAAATAACAGGCAATCTCCATATAATAAACATCTTCTTCTGTAACTGAAAATTAAAATAAAGGTGTTCGTTTGAAATTTGAATTGTCCTTTGTACTGTCGTAGTCTTCAGAGATATCCCTCCTAACTGCCTTAATTTAAGTAATTAAATGCTTTTATTTTTCTAGCGGAATAAACAAAACTTAATGTACTCCTTAATTCATGAACCTACGAAAAAAAATATTGATAATGGCTAAAAATTCGTCGCGGCACTCAGATACTTTAATTACTATCATTTTAATCACAAATCAAAATTTGTAAGTGAACTTGTCCGTATTAGTACAACTCCACTTGAGAAATTAACTTATAACAATATATACAATACAATATAATAGGCAGAACGGTAAATATAACGACGATTATTAAATATATAGTACTCGTACAATAAAAGCAGCAATCGGTCAGAATGTCCGTAATGTAATATTTTGCATCCGCTTATTTCGGTAACTCCATAATCTCGCATGTTAATGCCGAGTTTGGTAGGAAGGGGCGAATGTATGCATGAGTGATGCCGAATTAACGCGGCTCATTGGTTCAGTTATTAAAATGTCCACGAAATTCGCCCGTAGCACAGTCGCAACTTTCATTGCGATTAATATTACGGATTTGGTACCGTTAATTAGCTATTCAAAAATGACTACGTTGTTGCGGTTCGAAATGACGTGCCATATTAAAATTAAACTGAAGCTCTCTAAATTGATAATTACGATAATAATTTCATATTTTACCCCTATATAAAAATATATGTGTACTTAGTAGGCATGTAATAAGTTATACTTCTTTAGCCTAAAGGCATTAAATGCAATTGATAACGTTTTATTTAAATACCTTGGAATCATTGGTAAATCGCAAAAAGTTTTTATTGGTTGCCGATATTAAATTGGTTAAAAAACATCATGTCGCTCTTTGAGGGTTGGTGGGCGCGCGCATCGAAAAATTTTTACTCTCATAATTTT